GAAATGAAGCTCAAGACATCTGGTTCGTTCTACCTAAAACTGAATACAAAATGTTAAATGGGTTGTCTTTTCCCCTTATGCGTAGCAGAAACTTTTTTTAGACACTTATCATTCTAATGGGGCATCCGCGAAATAGATAATGTAAGTTAGGCTCAAAGTTTATGGATTTGAAATTTAATAGGTTTATAGATTTTTAAATTACAACTTTTTACATTTTTATCTAGATAATAAATTCGAGATTAATTCAATAATGTTATTGACCAAATTTGAACAGAATACTAACATATTAAATGCAAAGAATTTAAATTCACTATACAAAGAATTGTAATGTTAAGATTATTTTCTATTTATTAATGCCAAATACCTTTATTTTATATACTTATGCATGCCTGTGAATTAGCGTACGAAATCCAGTGGACTAACAAAATTTTCTTCTCAGCGAAACTACATTTTTTCATTTCAATTAAGAAGCTTGTTCAGTGAAATTCAACTTTATATTGACTTTTATTCGATGAATGAAAGATCATGAAATTTGTGAATAAACCGTTTTGAAATTTAAATAAAATGTTTTTGTTTTTGACAGAAAACATTGTTTCGAAAGAAATATTAATGTTAGCTTCTTATGAAGTAACTTAAGTCATTTAAATTTCGAAACGGTTTCATTTTCTCAGCAATGATAAGATCAACAGTTGAAATCAATAATTATTCCGTTGGCTAATCGGATTTTTAACTTTAAATTAAAAGTTGGAATAAAAATGAACCACCATAAACGTACCATTGCGGCATATTTTTTTTCAAAGTTAAATCGGAAACCCTTATGCAGCATGAAAAAATTATATAGTTGTGTTATATAGGTAAAAAATTGTAGAGGTATATTTTTCAAATGGAAGATCATCATTCTGTTTGTATTTTCGAATATACCTTTATAAAATTATCCACGATCCTTCTTTAATATTATTACCTGTGAGAATTATGTAATTTTTTATTGGAAAATAAAATGCCATCTGTTAGGCATTAGAAAATATTTTTTTATCCATTCCATTTAAGTTTGAAAAATTTTGTTAAACTGAAACATTATATAAAGTATAGCGTTACAATTATATATACATATTTGCAAGAGAGTTTGAGTTATTGAGGGGTTGTGTTTAGATTTATATGTTTCTAAGCAAAATCCAATTTGTATTTTCTTTTAAAATTTAAAAATTAAGATTTAAAAAAAGAATCTTTTGTCTTTTTATCTTTTTAACTTTAATTTATAGCTAAATACTTATTTATTTAATCTAGTTGTTAAAAAACAATAAAAAAATTCTTAAGATCTCCAAAAACTGTAATTATTGGCATGTTGCACAATCACTGGGACGATATGTAAACTGCAATTATTAATGTTATCCTTCTATGAATATTGAATCCAGAAAAACTGCAATAATAAAGCTGCTTAATTTATTTATTTAGAACATTTGGAGGTAAAATTATTGGTACTGCAGTATTAACTTACAAATTCTAGGGTTTCTTAAAAAAGTAGGAATAAAGAATCATAAAATCGCTTTGAAGAAACATAGTTTCTTCAAGAAGAAACATAGTTTACTTATTCATATTTTTGGCACCATTTACGTCAAGCGCCAAAACTTATTATAATATGTGTCAAAATAGACAAAAATTCGAAAAATGTATTCAATTTTTTTAATAAAAAAGAAAATAAATACAAAAACGCTGTTCAATACAGAGGTACCAGCAGCTTTGTCAGAATTTGAGGGCAGTCGTTACTATATTTGGTTCCATGATTAATTCTTGAATTTTTGGTAAAACTGTTCACTACAACTTATCAATTGAATATTATCTAAATTGGTAAAGTTTTTTTAAAATACTTTGTTGTTTTAGTTAACAAAATCCATATTGTTGTTGGTTTTTGAATAAAAAATCATATTTTTATCTAGAGTTTTACTTTTTTCGTATTAAATATATTACTTATACATTTCGAACTAATTATCCTGACACAATACTGTTGCTAAATATATAAAACTTAATAAATAAAAATAATGAACTTGGATTCAAAAATAAAATACGGTAAAAATTATAAACTTTAGCTTTAGGTCGAATTTTTAATATAATTTCCATTTATAAATAACAATAAATAAACAAATACATTTATCAAATGTACCAATGCAATTCTATTATAAATTAAACGTATCTACAAATTTATCTTTGCTTATATTTATTCACACACATTTATATGTACCTACATATACATATAATTATGTCCAAGAAAATATAAACAAAAGTACAGATAATATGTATGTACATGTACAAAAATGTAATAGCTTTAAATTGAAATCAAATATTTTAAAAGCAAAAATAATTGCATTATTCCCATCAGGTACGTAAAAAGCTATTATACAATTAAATTTCAAAATGTAATTAAATTTAGTGCTAGTAACTGCATTCTCTATACTCATTTATTTACAGTACATTGCTATTTAGTTCTACATATTTACAAATATACATACATACATACATATTAAAAAAACATTTTAAGGCACTATATTTCTATAACTGAATTTCAACATTAAAGTGATATATGAATCGATATATAATGTACGAGTATGTATATGTTTATGGGAGGGAAAAACTCATTCTGCATTGCACCTCTTTTTTAATATTGCTCCATAGATCAATTAACAAGCAATATATTCATTTGTCAATACATAATTTATTTTATTATATTTGGTCCCCTTCTCCTTTCTATTATTTCAAAACGACTGCAAAAATATCTTATAAGTTATTTTACTACACAAATTTTATATTTTTGTATGTAAAATGCTATGATTTTACATACAGACTCTTATACAAATGTGCATATGTATTTATATGCTACAGAAAAACAAAATTCAGTTTTCATTGCAATATTTGCTTGTATATAATATATGTATATAGGCATTAATAAACAATAAAATACAAAATAAAAATAACAAAGGGTAGCATTCAGATGACCATTTTCAGTATAATATTGCTATTTTCAGAATAAAATTGTATTCCTTTCTATATACATACACACAAATTTTAATGCAGATGCAACATATACATATTTTTACATATTTTCTATTATGTACATACATACATACATATATGAACAAACACTACAGATTTAGGAAAACGTACTTCGTTTGATATATTTTCAATGAAGTATTTTTCAATATTAGACACCAATGTACAGGTATTATTTATTTCTGTTTTTACATACATACGTACATACATGCATATAAAATAGCATAACGGAGTATATTGTAGATCAAAATTAGTTAGAAAATAAGAGTGAGAACATTCATTATAAAACAGAATTCCAAGCATTTTAAATACATACTCTGCCTAATTCAATACTTTTGTAATAGGTACTGATAAGTTCGAAAGTTACAAGTCAAAATTTTTGAGTGGAATGTTTAGGGTTGTTGCACTTACATTCTTTGAAGATTTATGTAAAGTAAACTATGTACATACATAAGCATTTCATACATGTACATATACATATCTGTAATATTATTTATATTTTACTTTATACATTTCATTTACATTAAAGTGTATGTTTGATTGAACAAAAATATAAATGAAAAAAAAAACCAGAAACAAAAACAGTTAAAATACGGGAGAATAAGGAAATAAATAAATAAAAGGGGAGTTTAATAGTGATAACAAAATGAAAGTACATACGTATAAGTATGTTAATTTTGTTATATTGTTATTTTAGCTTCATTGACAGAAAATGTTATTCTATTATTGAAATACACATACATTTATATGTGGTTATGTAGTTATGTAAGTATGAGAGCTTTACACATGAATACCATTGCATGAAATTTATATAAGAAAATAATAACTGTATTGTTTTCAAATATATCCGAAAGGATATATTGCATATATAGACCCATTGTTAATTTATTAGTGAAAACATTAAAGTAATGAGACAAAAAAGAATTTTTTTTTAAATCAACTTGATATTTTTTTATGAATTAATATTAAATTGATGTATATTTATACCTAGGAGAATAAATGAAGCATGCTTTTTATATGTACATAAGTATGTATATACATATATGCTTTCATATTATAAATTTGCACATGTATGTAGATATGCATATATGTACGTATGTAACATTTAATTGCTAAATTTAAATGTAATTCGGTCAAGTTGATATTAATTGAAATCTAACTGTTATAGTTTATTAAAATTGTGTAAATTGTGTATTATTTAATATTAAATTTAATATCGTTTAAAAACCACTAATCTTACTACATTCCCATTTTTTCCATTTATTACTACTTATCAAATGGAAAAATTTTTTTTTGCAAACAGCTTTTAAAATAAATGAGGCATTTTCTATGGAATTCTTTCCTTAATTTGTATTTATAATACATTCATGTAAGTAGGTACATATGTGAGTAATGACTAATACATGCATTTATGCATTCCCTTTCAGAATATATCTACTTAAATTAAAAAAAAGTCAATAAAATATTTGGAATTTGCGAATTTATTTTCATTATATTAACAAAGAGTGCAGAATAGAAATTGGTTAAACAACATTTTATAAAAACATACAAAATAATATTTTTTCTTATAAATTCTGATTCTTAAAATAAAAATCGAAATTCTGTATAATCGACAAGCAATCAGAATATTATAATTACAAGATGAAGCAAGTGTGTCCTCATATTTTTTACTTCAACGAATGTCTCATAACTACAGTCAGTGAACAAAAAGTCTTTATCTTTATATAAAAATAAAAACGCATAAGAATAATTCAATAATGCTGTACGTAAAAATAAACGAAACTTCTAAGTATGTTGTTTCGAATTTGGCTCGAATTTGTTTACTCTACACCACTATAGAAAAAAACTTTTCCCTCCTCACGAAATTATTATGATGAACACATTATTATTATATAATATACATATGTAAATGCATTTAATACTATTTACTAAAATTTTGTTTTTCTATTCATTTATAGGTAAGAGATATTCAGAATCTCTTGCGGGCTCACTACTTCCAGATTGGTTAGGTAAGTTAAAATATCTTATTATTTTATAATTTGTTTTGTTTCATTAATTTATTTGTTTTTATTGGTAAATATATATTTTGCAAACATGACATTCACACAAACTTCAAAAAAAGCTGTAGACAATATTATGTTTAATTATACACGTACATATATTATAGTTTGTTATAAAATTAATTTTAATTTTCTGCATCAGTTTTCTTTTTACTTTGCAAAACATTTGAATAATTTTAGGTCAAGCTCTATAAACGATACATTGTTAATTTATTTTAATCAATATTATGATTACGCTTCTTATTGTCAATGATTTTTTTTTAAATATTTAAAATTATGTAGGCACATTATTTGTTTTTCATTTCATATCCTTATTTTATTATTTCCTTATAAAAACACATTCGCTTTTTGTATTTATTTAATTAATTTTTGAAATGAAAGAAAGAAAGCGAAAAACCTTTACTTAGCAGCGACAATGAGGAGAGGAAAATATAAAATAAAGAAACCAAATGATGACTTATAATTTTAAATCCTCATTTTGTATAATGATGATTTATAAAATTAAACTATTAAAGTCATTATAGGTTTAAGGTAAGACAGTAGTGTTGTAGTAATAAGGAATCGATGTAAAAACTAAAAAAATTATACAAAAAAACTATTTATCAAAACATAAAGTTTAATGTAAAGTATATGTACATATATTTTATAGGATATTTTGTTTTTTGTTACAAAATTATATTATGAACATTATACTTATGAACATTAATGATGTATATATTGTATACCTAGAATATTATACGCTCATTTATACGCTAAAATTAATTTTACGTAAATCACACGCAAACCTTTTTATCTCTGAAATTTAACCATTCAATTTTTAAAATTTAAGTTTTTTTTTGACTAAGCAGTTTTATTATGTTCATTTTCAATTGTTAAAAGTATTGTATAATAAGAAGTTTGAACCGTTATCTAATTTTGTTTGCAATGTGAATAAAGCTTCTAATACAAAATTAATGTATTTTGTATAATTTATTATAATTTTGATTCAATGATTAATAAAATGACGCCCGTTATAAATATTAGCGCTGCGCAAAATTTTTTAATATTGCGTTTAGCATTTACGCAGACCTTCTGTACAATCTTCTTCTGTACATGAAATCATTTATATGAATTATTATAATTCAGGATTAAGCCTGATCGAGGAGCGTATCTATTATGGTTATTTTGAATAGAATTTTAGTCTAGAACCAAATTTGGGTTATAGATTATCCTCTTTTTTAAGTACCTATTAGATATCAAATTTTTCATTTCTGAAAAAGGAATCTTGTAAGAAATTACTATTAAGTATTAATTTTTAATTTATCAGGATTAACCAAATCTTATACGTTTCTTAATTTTTCACTTTTTATAAAATGCAATAAAAATCAATTTCATTTTCGTTATTCATATAATTTAATTTTTAAGCGAATTTTTCCCACCATATTAAATTCGCTATAGTCTACATTATTTATAAAATATAAATATTTGTAAATCAAACTTTTGCATGATATAGTGAGAACAAATTAAATTGTACTTTAGTAGAAAACTTTTCGTATTACAAAGGGCTGAATGAAAAAGAAATAAACATAATAAATTTTTTAAACATATTATTTCCTGTCAAATCAGAATTATCATTTGTGTAATTATATATTAGATATATACATATACATAATTTTACCAGTAATCCGGTAGCAATTTTAATAGGCACTCATTTTTTACTAGAATGCATTGGATTATGTACTGCCTGCACCTTTTTTATTTTCGCTCTTTACTAGGTTCACATATGTATATTTAAAATTCCGGAATGATAATTTAAATTGACAACAGAAAATGCTTATAAAAAACTATAATTACAAAATGTGAATGATTGTGATCGACATATATTAATACTAAAGTGTTATGTTATAAAATTCTTTTGTAAAATAAAACATAAATAATTTGTCATTGTTCTTAATTTCCATCGTTTTTTAAAATAAAAATTAGTTTTCCAAGTAATAATTATCAATACATTTATGTGCAAAATGCTTGCTCCTCGGAAGCCCTTACTTCTGAAAAAACATTTTACCATTATAATTGAAAAGGAAATCTAAGCGATGGTAAATAATATTTAAATCTTTACAGAATCGCCCTGCACTCATTTACATATATGCAATTAGTAACTCAAATAGATTCATTAAAATAAATGTTCTTTTCTATAACTCATCAAAGATCAAAGTAATTTACATATACTAGTTCCATGTTCCTAATTTTATCACAATATGGTAAAATGTGTGGTAAACGATGTATATATATATTTTTTTAAAAGCAAGGTAGGCAACAATAAATTGAAGGGAACATGTAAATATATCGAGGCTTGATAATGTTCTTTTTACAATTTAAATGTATCAATTTAAACATAAATATTTCTCAGAATGTTTGAATACATGTCGTTAAAGAATTACTTGTCATAAACGCCAAAATAATATTTCGAGTAAAATGAATTTGAAGTTAGTAAGATATTTTTAAACTGGATCGATACTTTTTTAACGGTAAAAACATTTACTTTTCTGTGTATGTCTCCTATACGGTTTTTCCGGGTAATTGAGAGACACATCGGCAAAAGAATAATTAAGAAAATATTTTCAATTTCTACGTTAAACAAAAACTACTAAAATTTGTTTTTATTTATACAATTAATTTTATTAATATCAAACAAACCAGCTAAACAGCAAAACATTTGTATTTAAACATTTTTTATTTGAGTTCAATTATTTAATTTTAATTTAAGTAGTAATCAAGTATTTAATAATGAATTTTAAATAGTTAACATTCATTACGTTAGCATAGTTTTAAAATAATTTTTACCTTTTATGAGAATATGAAAAGTGATTTTATAACGTCCACTTATTATTTAATTTCATTGTTTTTTTGAAATATAATAATATCAGATATTTAATAAAGCATTAAGACACAATTTCTTTTGTGTGTCAAACTATAATCTAGATTGTACCAGTTTTGACAGTTTTTGTATGAAAAATTTGAAAATTACAATGCGTTAAATTTTTTAATAAAAATGTAACTCGGTTTTTAGTTCAAGCTATTCTTGTGTTTACTACATCTATAGTGAGACATTCGTTGAAATCAACAAAAACGTGTCACATATTATTTGACATATTTTGCCCCATATGTATTAAATTGCGCGCTGCGACAGATTAAATAACGACATAAAAAATTTTGCTCTATGTCCAATATGTAACGGAGTAACATACGGCAATTGAAGAATCTCTCCAGAAAAATTTCCGCACGTAAGTAAAACTAATTTTCGTAAAACAGGAACGTAATTTCGCATTGAAAATGTGCCGCATATTCTATTGACTGACTTTCGTTTTTGTGGCATTCCCCTTCGAAACGTGAAACTTTGGAATAAGTGAGGGTGACGTATACTTACTAATTATTACAAAAAGTAAACAAGATCAGGGAAAATAAGTCAGAGTTGTGAAAGATTTGCGTTTAAAAACCTATGATGACATACATATCTAATTCAAAAATGGTAACATGACTGGTACGGTAAGTAATTATCCAGACCTGATATTTGTATGTATATACCAAAAAAAAACATTTTTTAAATAAAACAATTTTAATAGTTTACATTATGAAAATCTATATTGACCCTTTAATTACATGAAAAATTAAGAAAAAATTTTATTTCTTGTTTTTATTTTTCGCCTCTTTGTTATTAAAAACGCTAATAAAATTTCTAAAGAATTTAAATTTTTTCTAATTGAAACCGAAAGAAAAATATTTTTATTTGAAAAGTTTGTATTTTTTTGTTTTATTTTATATTTATACAAAGATGTATTATTTTATTTATTTTCTTTTGTGAGCAACCTTATTAAATCCAAAAATAACTTTGAAATTTTGGCGCCGTTTATTCAAAAACAAAAAACAAATGAAATGTAAATAAACTTTGATCTTTATTTTAAGAGCTCGCTAAGTATTTTAAACGTTATTTAAATTTAGTAATTTATTCATTTCAATAGAGATGTGAAATGCTGTAAATCGATTACTTATTAGACATTTCGTTGAATATTTCAAAAAGTATGATTGCAAATGTAGGTTTATTAGCACTTTTCCAAAAATTTTTTGAAAAAAGTGCTTATTAGTTTCACTCGGTGCGTGAGTCCGTCCGTCCGTCCGTGGACACTTTTTTTGTTTACAAAACTTTTACACCCGTGAAGATAGAAAGCTGAAATTTAACACGTACATAGGTCTTTACTAGAAACTTATCTCCCCCCCTCTGGAAGTTATACCCCCCCAAAACTCTAAAAATGGCTTTTTTTTTAACTATTTGTTGCAATGAAACCATAAGCATTTTTGAAATTTTGCAAACGCAGAAAGACAGTGGCTTGCTTCCTCTAGCGCGGTATACTATAGTTAAACTTTAGAAAAACAAAATGGCCGTTCAAATTTACCGTTATCTAAAGTCCTTTTTTTTCAAATTTTTGATTTCGTTTTTCTTCTAGACCCCAGCCTGTAGAAGCTTGAAATTTTTTTCCATCTCTACCCCCTCTCAAGTTATCGCCTCTTGAATTTTGTAAAATTTGAATTTTTAACATCTTATATTTCCGAAACCGCAAGCTTTTTCACATTTCTATGAACGCAAAAAGCTTACGGTAAATTCCATGACATTAAAAAATATAATTATTTTTCTTAACTCACACAATTAAGCCTTAAAACCGAGCATTATGTTAACCTCACTTTATATTAATTTGTGCTTTATTTCAAAGACTGTCTTAATCGTTCATCCTAAATTTATGCAATCCTAGAAATAGTTTTGTATATGAATGAAAATAATTTTAATAGTGTGATAGCTATACATAGACTGTATTTAACAGCAGAATTTTCACTGGTTGAAGGGAAAAGTGCTACAATACAAACCATTGGTTTGACCCAACTTTATCTTATAGTTATACTTATGGTAAAACATTCAA